TTTTCTTGCATCGAACCCTTTTAAAGAAATTATTTTCGTCAATCTTCTTGCATTTTTCTCTATAATATACAGCATACAACGTAATCATAGTACAAATAATTGTACATAAATAACTATAAGATAACAATTAAGAATATGAAAGTTTCGAAAAAATTGTTTATGTTTAATTATTGCTACATAGTTATTTAATGTTATTTATTTATTTTTATTTATTTATAAATTATTTATTAATTTTTATTTTACAAGTAAATGTTTGTAAAATATTAATTTTAATACGATTATATTTCAAACAAAATATTTGTAAAATTACTTATTTTACAAATAATTTTATTATTATTAATTTTACAAATAAAAACAATTTATTTATTATTATTTATAATAACATTTATTATTATTTTAAATCTTATTAAACTTTAATTATATTTATTATTAATAAGATTTAATTTTACAAATTGAATTTTAATGCATTATTATTTTTTATTTTACTTTTACAAATAAAAACACAATTTCAGGGAAAAAAAATCGCTTATTCTAATTGCACAAAAGTTCGATTTTTAAAGAATGTGAGAACTGCGCTTAATATATTGATGCAATTTTTTAATATTTGGCAAAAAATTTCTCAATTTAATTTTTAAACGGCATCTTTCAAAAGTATTCAACCCGCTTCTTGTTTTACTTTCTTGTTTTGCGTTCTTCGTTTTAATTTTTTTATATTCCACTTATTGCATAAAAACTTTATATTTATAAAAAAATATGATTAATTTTTTAAAAAATAGACTAAATAATTTTAGTTTATTTTTCTTTTGTATTTATTTTATACGATTCCTTCCACACTGCATAGGTGGCTTTATATCAATTAATAATTAATGATTAATTTTATTAATACATTTTTGGTAATCAGTGGAATCCTAATTTAGATCAGTAGCCAATGTACATATATCTATCAATCACTTTTAACATTATATAGATCCCCAGGGAGTCAATTCCGACGTCGTTGGATCCTCATCAGAAGCTAGACGGAAATTTATGCTCTATAGAAATTTAATTTGCTTTGAAACGAAATTAAGAAACAAAACAACAGCACATCAAACAAACAAAACAAAGAGAAAAGACCTCCGGGATAAATTATGCACATTTAAACGATTGCCTAAACAGATAAAAACTGCGTTACCCGAAGCGAAAGGAGGATGTTTAACCCTTCATTTTCTTCGACTATTATCTCCAGGTAATAGACGTTTTAAAAGCCACCCAGGGGTAGCTGGCGTGAATTTATTGCGAAATATCATGTCTCATCTCTCACGCATTTGCTCCATTAATCTTAAACCACTTCTTGAGCAAGAAAGAAAGAAATCCCACTGAACCACTGATCTGCGTTTAAAGAGATCATAGCCGTGGGAATAAAATGTGGTTGTTTTTGCATTACGCCGAAAGTGGCCGTAACTTGCTATCATTTCTGTATGTAATGCATTATGCGTAATCAGAACCCGCCAGTAATCATAAAGCTGTGAGAAAAATAACTTGATTTGAATCGGATAACAAATGTTTTGAGAAATTAATATTTCCTCGAGAATGTCGTTGCGGTGGAAATGGTAACGCGTCCGTGTATCAGTTGGTAAATTTGTGATTCGATTTTTGGTGAGAGCTTTGTTTATTTTTCGCGTTTCCTAATAGCCTAATAGACTGTCAGGATATATTGTTAATTGGATAGACTAATAGACTGTCCAGTAACCTAATAGACTTTGTAGTGTTGCCTCTACTAAAAAGCCTAATGGGGACACCATGTGTCTGTATGTGTGTGTGTATTTAATTCTGGCAAAGCACACTAGGGCTATCTGCCTAAGGGGAGGGATGCCTTCGTGGAGGACTTTCTAAGGGAAACTGGCTCGTATACACGTTACACATGGGGAAAACCACGAAAACACCCATGCAGCCAGCCCAGCCGCGGGATTCGAACCTCGGACCGAACTACTAGTGTTCAGCGACTTTACCGCTTGGCCGCTGGTGGGCCTGGGAACACCATATGACTTTTAACAATACATTTAGACAATAAGGCATGTTAAATTGTATAAATTTTTTGCTGCTCTCCTTTTAAACTTATTTCAGCGAATTATTCTAAATTATTCTAAATTCTAAATTAATTAATAAATCTGTCGAAGCAAGTTGGAAATGGGAAAAAAAAAAAAAAAAAAAAAAAAAAAAAAAATACAAATTTTAAACTTAAAAATCCTGGTTAAATTTTAATGCTTAGTAATAACATTTTATAATAATATTTTAATAAATAAATAATAATGCTAATTTAATACAGGAGTCAAACTGCTTATATTTTTTTTTATGACCAGTATAAAACTTTCCGAAATGAAAGTATAGGAACCGGGGAAACCGTATTAAAGCATCAAAATTTCGAGTTCGTTGCATGTCCGAAATTAGTTTTTAGCCCAATCTTCCACCGAATATCTGGAAGCCCAAATTTGGAATCTGGAATTTATTATCGATTTCATATTTTATAACACTTTAACGAATTTTTGATTAACAAACTCAACGATTTCAAAGCCAACAATGGCAACCCTGTACGGGGGGGGGAATTATTTCCAGTTGAGTTGGCTCACTATCAACGGCGTTTCACTTCTCAAATTGTTGCCACCAAATATTTGAGCCCTGCATTAAAGAAATTAAATAATGAAGAATGAATCAGCATAAATGTATGTATGTTTCTCGCACTGCGATAAAACAATGGTACCTAGAGCCATGCAATTTTGAATAACGTAATCCTCCTGCGAATATGAGCATCTGGAAGCCCAAATTTGAAACTTGTTTTATTATCGATTTCATATTTTGTAAAACTTTAACGAGTTTTTGATTAACAAACTCAAGGATTTCAAAGCGAGCAGCGTCAACGTTGTACAGAAAAAACACTTTTATATCCAGCGCGCGAGTCTGTGTATCGGAAATTCTAAAGATAGGGTCAATTTAAAATTATTTTGCGATGTTGTTGTTGAATTGAATTTTATGGTTGAAGTGCGAAGAACATGATATTTAATAAATAAAGGTAACACGTAAAACGTTAAAAAAATCGCCCCTTTGAGCGCATTGTAGAATCTGAAACCTTTCAGATTTTTTCCCCCCCTTACTTTGTTTCTGACATTGGCAGAAACATGAATATTTTGGTCATTTAAAACACTCCTGTTATTAGAAGCATATGAGTATTACCAAAATTGGGAAAGACGAGTAGGGGCTTGGTATATATAATATACCGAAAGTATAGTCTATACATATATATATACTTTCGGGAGCTGCCGATTGCAAAGAAAAAGAAAGGTGCGTAGCTAGATGTTATATCAGTTCCATATACAAAATTTCAACATTCTGTGCCAATTCGTTTTTCAGTTATGCGAGATACATACATACAGTTAATAAACGAATGAACAGCACATCAAACAAATGAAGATTTCCTTGCATTTTTTATTAGAGGTCACTTAGACATTCGGGTTTCGCCTCTACTAAGGCCAGTAGGGGTGGTCATTTTATTATAGAGGCACCTTATAAGCGGCCACTGTTACCATCTATGAGGGAGCAGACAATTTACATCCATGCTTTCTCCGGGATTCGAACTCAGACCCTTCGGCATCGCAGTCGGCGATACCACTATGCCGTCTGGCAGTACCCTAACCACTATACCGTCTGGGCGGGTAAAGAATCCCTTTTGAATCTACTTAAATCCGTTTTACAATCCATTAAAAAAAAAAAAGAGTTCTTTATTCTTTCGTACGTACACTATACCCAGAAGAGAAGGAAACTCCCAGACCTGGGCCTTTTTCAAGCTCTTAACACGGTTAAGCGCGGCTCCTCTTCAGAGACGATCCAAGAAGGCATAAACCCCGGCCAATCCAAGGAGATAAAACTGCCCGCAGTCGAAGTCATAAGAAGACAAGTCAATGGTGACCGGACTCCAGCTGGGAACCTACAAAGTGAACGAAGCCAGGCCATAGCATGGACTGTCAAAGCATGGTCAAAGTAAAGATTGTTCCCAAGTTTTGACCGAGAGGAGCTAAACCTCCAAAGACAACCCTCGATATTAAAAAATGTAGCGTGTCCACAACAGACAAGACAGTACCAATTTGGGCTTGCTGATCTTGAACCTACCACCGAAGAATCGATGACTCTAATCACTGTGAAGATTGATTACGCACCCTAAGAGCAGGGTCTGTCTAAGTACAGGTCTTAGTCAAGACGCCAGGTAATGCTCCCCCCCAGTCGGCCCCCGGGTTGACTTCACGCAAAAAAAAAAAAAAATAAAAAAAAAATCGTCCAAATGGATTCGGGAAAGGTAAAAATGGATCCGTGCCTTTCGCGGTTACAATACTTCCTTTGCTCCGTATGAGGAAATAAAAATGTGGTGGGAGATAATTCGTCGCCATCTAGATTTGGCCGACTGGGTCTCGTCCTCTCCATAGTCGCCTTTTTAAGTGTGAGTGTGATAGGGAAGAATATTAGCAATTATTGAATTCCCAGGTACGTGTTTTCAAGATGTAACTGGTAGGACTTTCAGCTAGCAATTCGAAGATCTTCGCTTTAAATCCTGGAGAGGGCAAAGTAGACTGAAAATCCTAATAACTCTATAGCGGCCTTTCAAATTATTTGAATTTGGTGATTTCGTATCGTAACAGTTCTATAAGTGGTCGAGCGGATAGGATCACTGATTATTTGTAGTTTCACCTGGTACAAATGATGGTGAACGACCTGGCTGCATTTGAGGTTTCGCTATGCGTAACGGGAACGCCAGGCAGTTTTCTTTAAGAAAGTTTCCATAAAGGCATCTTTCCTTTTAATCAGATAGCATTCCCATGTTCCATGCTGAGATTTAATGAAATAATTCTTCAGAGCGTAACATGAAAGCAAAGATTGAGAGATTAGGCTGCATAACCTTTTAAAGTAATATAGTGCACTATCATTGTAAATACTGTGTGTCTGTCCTGAATCAGTAATAAAAAGGCAAACAAAAATTGGCAGCTGAATCTATTTATTTCAGTTTCTTTCTTAAAGAAAATACATTTTGTTCTTGCTCGTTTTCTTCCTAAAGATCTCCAGGAAAGCTGTCAGAAACTGCACAGTTCTCTTACTTCGTACTGCAAAATATAATAATAATAATAACAATAATAATAATAATAATGATAATAATAATAATGATGATAATAATAATGATAATAATAACAGACACAAGACCAGTGAAGTGAAAGACAGCTTTGCACTAATTCTTGCAATCGCTAGTTAAGTAAAAGTTTGAAAATTTTTGTTGCATTTTTGCCTTCGAAATTAACTTCAAATTTTGGTTTGGTATATATTTGATGCGAGAACAAACTGCCTAAGGAAAGCGATGGCTTCGTAGAGGATTTTCTGAGGAAAACTAGCTTTTATCCACGTTGCACGTTGGGAAAAACACGGAAGCGTTCAAGTAGTACTCAACGACTTCACCAGCCGGAGCTGGCCGTGTAACTTTTGGGTGTAATTAAATTTATTATTCAAACTCATTCCAAAATTCTATACTGAGAAAAACCTCTGTCCAGATGTACTTAGTCATCAACGCTTTTTGAGGAAATTAATACTATTACTTCTCGTTTCCTTCTTTTCTCTTAAGTATAACTTATAGTGTTCAATTTATGGTGATTATAATTTAATAAATATACAATATAAAAAAATCTGAAAGCTTTCAGATCTTATATTACGCCCAAAGAGGCGTTTTTTTCTTTTCATTTACATATACATACCCGTTTCGAGAGCATTTGGGCTAACACACCTTTGGGCTAAAAATATTTAAAAACAGCATATCTTCAGAATTTCTGATAGATAGTCTCGCACTCTGGAGATAAAAATATTTTATTCCGTCCACTGTGTTGCCACTGCTCCTTGTGAAATCGTTCAGCGTTTTATTAAAAATTCGTTAAAGCTTAAAATATACGAAATAGGTAACAAAGTCAAACTTCCGAAGATTCGGGCTTCCAAGTATGGAAAAATATCGGTGTACCATTCCAGATAAAGTCTGATTTTGTGTCAAGTACCTATGTTAGAACAATGATATATATAAATGCAATATATATCCTAAGTCGCGCTTTCTAGATATGAAAAAAGCAAGTTAAATTTCGTCAATCAACCCAGTAGAGGAGGAGATATAGAACCGCTATACATCAAACGGAATCGTTCAGAAAATATTTAAAGTTGTATACTATTAAAATCCTAAATTTAATTAATCATCAGGAAACAAATACTATATTACAGCAAGAAAAACAACTTTAATTAAGATACGCAGGAACTGTAATTCGAACGAAGAATATCAGAGCTCCAATACTAAAGATCATTAAGCACTAACTGAAAATGAAATTTAAAAAGCTGTAGACAAAACACAGAGATTCTGTTATTTTTTGTATCTGCATGTTCTAAATTACAAAGGGGGTGGGTGGAATCATATGGAATGTAGAATACTGAGCATGCGAACTGCATAAAATAAAAGAGCAATGCTCATTAGTTTTTAATTGTCTAAATCAGCGAAATAAAACCTTTTTTTTCAGCCGTAATTATAATTGCCGAAAAGAAGTTTATGTATGCACGGTCAAGAAACACTTATATGCTAATAAAAATAGCAGCCATTTGCAAAACATTTCAGAGAAAGTAGGAAACTATGCCGTAACCTGTTTTTTTTAATTTTATTATTATTTTTTATTACTTTTATTTTTTCCTCTGTTAGGATATTGATAATGCAGAAATCTACGTTGAAGCGACCACGAAGTTTGAAGACATATTTTCGATGCGTTAAACATTTTTCACAATTTATTCGCACAGAGTGATTCATTTAATGCAGCGAAAAACGAAAGTGTTTTTTTTTTTATATATATATCAGAAATGCAGTAGCATAGCTAGAAGTTCCGGTGCCCAGGGCGGTCTCTGAGTTTTCCGCCTGAGGCGAGCCCCGAACTCCCCTCCCCTCTTGATACACAAACAAATAGCTACAAAAAATGAGAAAATGGCATGTAAGAAAATAAATTAAAACTTTAAATTTACTTTCGGAGAAAAGCTTTAATTCAAGCATTTTAAAATTATGTTATTATTTTGCATTTTAGCCCAAAGGGCTGTTAATTTCGTTTTGCCATTTTGCGTTGCGTTTCACTTATAAGGTATTTTCCCCGCCTTCTTAGCACGCCTTCATGGTGTAGTGGTCTGCACGCTCAGCGCGTATTCCAGAGATCCGTGGTTCGATTCCGGGTGAAGGCGTTGCTTCTTTTGTCATCTTTCCTGCTTCCAAAATACCTAATGTCTCTACACACTTTTCAAACTCTTGCCACCAAATATTAGAGCCTTGCATTATGTTTACAGAAATTAAATAATGAAGAATCTGCATGAATGTATGTATATTTCTCTCACTGTGAAAAAACAACGTTACATAGAGACATGAAATTTTGGATAACATAGTCCTCTACTCGAATATGGTATCTTATGTGGAAGCCCAAATTTGGAATTTGTTTATTATCTATTTCATATTCTGTAAAACTTTAACGAATTTTTGATTAGCAAACTAACAATTTTAAAGCGAGCAACGGCAACACTGTATTAAAAAAAAAAAAATCTTTAGCGCGCGAGACTGTGTATCGGAAATTTTAAAGATATGCTCTTTTTTAATTATTTTGCGATATTGCTGTTGAATGGTTTAAGTGCGAAGAACATGATATTTAATAAATAAAGGGAATGCAAAAAACGTTTTAAAAAACGCATCTTTAGACGTAATATAAAAACTGAAAACGTTCAGATTTTTTTTTTTAGTTTATGTTAGTCCAGCTCGGTGGAAATCATCAACTATTAAAATGAGGGAAAAAGCAAACTGTATTCAAAGAACAGCATTATTAGCCATCATAAGGTGCTAGAAAAACAGTACCTACTTCATCTCTTCAAATTTTAGCAAATTTATAGAAAGTTCTATTCAAAGGATAAGTAGAGGATAGTGCGGTTTTGAGCTTTATGGTTTAAATATTAATAAAAATGAAATTAGTCCATTCTCGAAATGGTTACAACATTCAGCCAAGATCAAAATTTTTAGTTGAAATTCAATGCTTTCCTTATAATAAAGGCTTTGAACTATTTTCGGATGATTCTAAAAAGGATGACCGTACCGTTGCAGGATTTTATAAAGACGGTATGTATTAAGGAGGATTGCTTCTCTCTTGATAATGGATGTTCTGTCTAACAGGCTGAAACAATAGCTTTGTTCAAAACCTTACAATCGATTAAAAATGATAAAACAAGGATGAATATTTATTCTGATTGTCAAGCAAGCCAACAGAGAAATTTAAATAAAAATATTATAGGAATTAAAAGAAAAAAGGTACTTTCAGAAACTACGAGACTTCATTGAATCCGGGGGTCACCAATGAAAAAAGCTGACGAACTTGAAAAATTAGGAATTTACTCAAATTACTTAATTGAAAGTAAAATTCTACGAAGTTATTTAACCTTAATCTCCAAGGAAAAGGAAATGGAAGTTTGGTAAGGTAGATGGACAGAAGATAATTCTGGAAGAAAAGTTTTCAAATTCTTCCCCTCAGTCTCCAAAAAGAGACATATTTCGGATTTTTCCTTAAACAAGTAAAAGTTTTAACAAATCACGGAGCATTTCCAAGATATTTAAATATATTTAATTAGAAAAAAATCTAGTCGTTGCTATACAGAGTGTCTATAAAGTTCCGGACCCATTTTGATGTTTAATAACTCAAAATAATAAAGATAGATTAAAATTAATAAAGCATGTCGGCATCCACAGAGGCTATTGCGGTTGTAATTCTTTCTAGGTCATCCATGTTCGACACTCTCCTCCTGTAAACATTGTCCTTTACAAATCCCCAAAGGAAAAGTACATAACATTGCAATAGTTGCCGAAAACAAAAGAGAGAAAAATGCAATTAATAAGCAAACGATACTTGGAAAAGTACAGATACTTAAACTGGAAAATGAAATTATCTGAAATGAACCACACGCGCAGACGATATTTACAAAAGTAAAGATATTCAAACCTGAAAAGGAAAATATACAAGTTATTTCATCAGTAAATACCATAAATACCATCTTCATTATTTTATGAGTTATTAAACATCCAAATGGGCCCGGGACTTTATAAACACCCTGTATTTGTGGACATCAGACGGCAGATTGTAGAATGTCCAAGTAGTATGAATGATGAAAGATTAAAATTGATTTCACAAACATTATCAGAAGATATGCTGTTTAAATTAGTATAAACGGATAAAGGAACATCTGCTATTTCTCGATGATTGGAATGTATACTTTCAAAAGAAGAGGAAAGGTATTGTTAAATTTATTTTGACTGTGTTCATGTGTAATTGTTTATGCTGTAAAAGTTTTTCAAGTTTTTAATTATTGTCTCAGATTATGATATTATTGTAATATATAGCATACACTGTATCGATTATTGTAATGTATCGTATGATTGTTTGTAGAAATGTAAAATTGCATTCTACTGACGTGTTAAAGATGTTGGTGAGACCAAGAAATCTTTCCAGACAGAGGAATCCAAAGTTCTTTAACAATTTTATTTTAATTAGTTGTTTAACTTTCAAGTTTTCATATTTTTAGCCAACGGCTCTGATGATACCTCTTCTAATTGAAGTGAGGATCGGATTTTCCATTTTTATGTTATACAAACAGTAGAGAAGGATTTCTTAAATGCAAAATAGACATTTCTAGTTCTTAAATATTTAATAATGTGGGATGGCATCGTTCATTATAATCGGATGACGCGACAAGCTGTGAGAATAAATCTTTTACTTTTCCGATGATAGAATTCAGACGATTCCGCCATTAAGACGATGATGCGACTGAAAGATGTTTATATGTAAAAGACGGTCGATTCTCTTCATCTGTAAATATCATCTATGTAAATTCATCCTTCTAGACATGTAATTATTTTGTAGTTTGTAGCAACTATTCATGTTTCCATTAAATATTCAAGTTATTTGTAAATTGGACTAGTTTATTAGCCCTTAAGCCACAAAAGAAGTAAGTTTATAGACATCATATTCCTAGACAGTAAGTACCGATTCTACAATAAGTTATTTTTATTTGAAAA